AAGCAGATCAAATCAGCCCTTCGTTTGCGGCTTTTCCCCTTTTCCAAGATTCAAGAAATATCTGCATACCCCAGTGACAGAGCAGATGTGAAAAATCACCTGCTATGACTTTTAAAGCCCAGCGCTCCTGTCACCCATTCCAAATCAATTCTCAGTTATTTCACTGCCTTGAACCCGACACAGACACTGACAGGATTTTAGCAAAAACTAATCCAGCCAAAGACCAGCTCAGCTATGCTTTAAGAATAGTTTGGAGAGCATCCTTCTATTGCCTCACTTCAAAAAAAAAAACCCCACAATGATTGACAGCAAAGAAGTTACACGAGTCATTTCTACATTAAGTGCCAGAACTCTACATGTGTTTTAAATTACACGACAACACTGTACAACAAAGAAATATGCAGAAATTTTCCACTTGAAGAGAAGGTTAAAAATTAAACACTAACAAAGCTCTAGCAGATATGAAATCCAACCTCACCTTAATGCAAAATTTAAAATGACTGAGCTGTCCTACACAAGGAAAAGAGGAATTAATCAATCCAGTTGTTCAAAATAAAAAGAACGGTGGGTTAAAACATGGTCATTATATGTACAGATTTTCACAGCACTCCCACTCTGCTTCAGGACTTACCCTCATCTCTTAAAATGACATTTTGCTTAGATTTAACTTTTAATTTTTCAAAGGATATTACCTATCCTCATTACTTCAGTGGTCACTCTTGAACTTCATTTTCTTCATCTTATTTAAACAAACTGCAGTGCTCCTAATAATGTGGTTATACATGAAAACAAGTCAACAGATCAATGGAAATTCACATTTTTCCCTAGAGAAAAGACGATATTTTTGGAGCAAACCTGATTTTTATATACACATGTATATATTCAGGTTATATGTCTCCAAACTTAAGTAGGCAAACACAATTTTATTTTAAGCAGCCCAAGCTTGACCTGATTACAAGGTCTGCACAGAAGTTCTGCCTTAACATAAAGAATTCAAGCGCAATGCAAATAGAAATTTTTAATCTTACTTGTAAACTTCCTCTATTTTATGAGAACACTGAGGATAGGACTGGCACTGTGTTATGAGCATGATCCACTCTGGATTACAAGAGGCAGTTTCTAAACTTTGAGACATGAAGTTCGTGTATCTTTACCCAAAATGTTAATCACATAAGCAGATTTTTGATTTACAGTCAGTTTTTAAGTAGCTTGTGTACGGCTCTTCTCAGCTGTAAATAGTTGGGGTGAGAACGCTGTGTGGCCGCTCCTGCTTGACATACATACTTACAATTACTGCCAGGAATGTCTTTACATTTTTCAAGACCTCAAACAAACATAATTTTGATCCTCAGGGTTTCTTTTTTTGTTTTGTGTTTTTTTTTCTTTAAAATCAAAACTACATATCAAACACACAGTTTTAAAATAACACAATAATTTCCATCCCGAGTTATTCTTTCGCTACTTGGCATGTCAGCTTGTTATATTTTTCATTTCTTTTGTTTTGCAGTAAGAAAAATGCAGACCTCCAACCACACATATTCAGCCTACTCAGCTAAAACATTAGAAAGAAAGAAAAAGAGACAGGCCTTTTTTGCCCCTCTAAGAAAACCTCCAAGTAAAGTAAGGGCAGCGAGTGCCTGAGCATCCAGGTGCTCCTCATGTTCTCTCTCCCAGCCACCTATCTCCACACCCTGAAAGCCATGGTAGGTCACACAGCCTTGCAATGACTTTGGCAATTCAACAGATTTGGACCAATTCAAGAGACAAGGCTCTCAAAACATGACTCCCATCAGCAGGTTGCCTTCAACTCCACACAGAAGCCAATAATTTCCCAACACGTGTCTCTAAACACTTCAGTAACTCAGAGCAGTGATCAAGTCACACAGAGCCAGGAAGGACAGGCAGCTGCAGAGCCTGCACCCAGGATGGGAATGTTATAGTGATTCAAGAGCACACTTTTCTCCAAGGACAGCACCACAGGTTTGGGAGATGCTCTCACACGTGTCTTCTCCCCTTCTCCAAGTCACGTTTCCTTTTGACAGCTGAGACAGGCATGAGCTGGTCCTCACAGCCTGAACAACCAAAGTGACCTTTAGCAGGGGACTGAAGGACACAAAACCCTACACATTAAACCAATCATTTGTGTTGTGGGGAAAAAAAAAAATCTATTTCTTCATTATTCTCAGACTTCCAAGACACTAACAAAAAATGCATCACGAGTGTGTTAACGCTATTCTGCAGTACTTAGCAAAATAAAAGAAAATTTACATGTCCAGGGGAAACCGAAAACAAATTTCTAAAAACAATTTGAACATAAATTTCCTCTTTTGCAAAATATGCAAAGTCCACACAGAGGAGTAGTGGGAGGATGCAGAATCAAGTTTATTGGTCTGCTCACAAAGTTCTTTGGAAAGTCTAATAAGCAAATAACACAAGTCATCTTAAAAAGCAATTTTTTTTTAAATAATGAAAGATCCCTAACAAATGTTCTAAGTGACCCCTTAAGGATTAACCCTTTTTCTTGCTCTTTGCTAGACCTCCTTGCCAGCTGTCCTACATTACAGCAGTTTACTAAGAAATAAACTCAACACTGATACTGAAAACTTAAAGCAAGTCTTGCAAAAGGTAAGAGGTTAAGACGTGAATACTCAAAAAGCCCATTCTACTGAGTGTTTTGAAGAGAATAAATTGTACCTTAACAAAGAAAGAAGTCAATAAATTATGCTACCAGAAGAGAATTCAAAGTCTCCAGGTTGGCAGTGTCTTTGCAATAATTCTGGCTCCAGAAACTCAGATAACAGCCTGCACATTTGAGGGAACTATTTAGCAGCAATAAATAGCCAGACTGCAAAATTATTAATAGGAAAATGAAAAGAGGGAGAAACTAAAAAAACTCCTAAAATTAAATACATTTAGAATCATAGAATGGTTTGGGTTGGAAGGGACCTTAAAGACCATCTTGTTCCAACCCCCTGCCACGGGTAGGGATGCCACCCACTAGGCCAGGTGCCTCAAAGCCCCGTCTGGCCTTTTATGAGTGTAAATGAACAGGAAACTAAAAATCTTTAGCAGGAGTGGATATCATTGTGCCCAGCTCTTCTGCCTCACCCAGGCAGCTGTATGCAGCTGCCTGAAAACCCCCAAAGCAGGGACAGAGGCACATTAGTTAAGCATTCATCATCAACAGGAAATGCGCATGAGTTCATATAAACACAGAAACACAAATACATAAACCAACAGCCTCGCACAGTTTAAGGTATTTCAGACACCCCATGGAATAGGGTTGGAGCTGTACCGGCTGGGAACCCACAGCTTCGATGTATTTGTTTTGGAATGGCAAACAGCCTCAGGACTCAGCAGAGCTCTTCTGGTGGGCACCACCAACCAACCAACCCACCCACGAGCCGCCCCTTGCTGCCGCAACCACCCGGCACCCCTGTGCTCTTAACTCCTTCATCTCCTCCAGAGCCAAGCCCAGCAACCCTGGCTGTTTGTGCTCCCACGAGCAGAATGACACGTTCCAAAGTGTTCCCAAGAAAAGACTGTGGTGTTGTTTGCAAACTCTACTCTGGATACACTCGCACACGGACCCTGTGACGCAACCGCAGGATTTAAAGGATTCTCTTTTGCAACCTGTTGTGCTGCCTCTGAACCACTGTCACAGGCAATGAAACGGGATGCACACGGATCACACGGGGTTCCTGGTAGATTTGGACACCAGCCCTCACCTTACACAGGCAAAAGGACAGGGAGTGGGAATCCTCCCTGCACAAGTCCTCTTTTTTCGTTTGTGATGGGGCTGAGGGCTGGGAGGGCCTCAGAGCTCCCCTCGCACTGGAGGTCCCTCACAGCTGTGCTCCATCCAAACAGGTGGTGAAGGCTGAACCAGGCTCTGCCCAAGTTTAAACTGCTAATTAATATTTGGTCTCGGAAGCTTGGTATCAGAAAATAAAAAATTACAGCCATCAGGAGGACATAAAAACAGTAAAAATGGAGACAACCTCAATTCCAGACAGCCTTGAGTTCTCTAAAGCACCATTAGGTTGCTTATTTACTTAGAAAAGTCTATCTACCTCTGTCACTTTCTGGATGAGATACAATTTCTCCCATGCCAGTGAACTAGATGGGATTCCTGTTTGGATTTCAGTGGTCTCCAAAACTGCACACTAAATTGTCTCAACTTTGCTTAGTACTTTGTGGCTTCAGTTTTCCCATATTGCACAGTCAAATGTAAACTGTTATCTTTTAAACTCTTTCTTGCCTTGCCAGTCTGCACAGTTGTTCTGCCATGTAGTTTTTTCAGGCACTGAAAGTGCTGTTGACCTTGAAAGTTAGGCCATGATGAGTTGGGTGACCGTATCCCAGTAGCTACACATTTTCAGCTGGCATTTCAGCTACAAACACATCTCTAGAGAGCACACTTTTGGACTTCCTATCCTCCATTAGCCAGGCACAGCAGGCTTCCAAACCCCCTTCCAAACATGGCTGCACACCGTGATGCCTCCAGGCTGCTGCTGGACCAGCCCTGCATTATATTTTTTGACATAAGTTAAGCTCTGTGCTTCATTTCTCACAAACGCAGTTTGACTGTAGACAGCAGCCGACAAGTAAATCTACCCCTTTCCATGGCAAACAGCCCAACTTTAATATTTTTACTGGCTTACAGCTGGGTAAATTAAGCCCCAGATTTTTATTTATTTATTTTTTAATACCGTGCAACTGAAAATGAACAGCTACTTCACCACGACTGCCAAGGACAACCTTAAAAACACTAATGCAATCCAGTCCAGCTCTCAATAGATCTATAAAGGCTAGAGGACCAAAAATTTCAGCTTATCCACCCAAACAAAATGTTGGTTGGGCAGGAAGTCTAATATTTCATTAAGATGCTTTAAAAAAAAAAAAAGAAAGAAAGGAAAGAAAAAAATCCCTGGCAATCTGAAGATGGTAACAGTCCCAGCTATAATGCCATGAAATGGGAATTAAAATGTGTTACTTACCCCAGCCTTCCCAGCATTTCAAGCTCTGGAACTTGTGGTCCATATGTCTCCACTTGCAGGGGCTGATACTCATACAAAGTTTCCTCTAGCTTTTGGATAGGAGCTAGTGAAATATGCTGACCCTGTTAAAAGGAAAAAAAAGAAAGAGATTGCTGTATACCAAGTCAAGGTTTTGTTTTGACTTTATTTAAATGCAATGCTAGAACAAGTTGATACCATTAACCTGGTCCAGATAAAGACCATCCCATTAAGAACATTTTGTCCACTATATCACTTAGTTCTTCATGATTTAAATTTTTTACTGGGAGCTACAGATTGGAAGTGATGTTTCATTAGCTATAGCTGTTTGGACAAGGTAGGAGGAAGGGGGCAAGTTTTACTGAAGGTGAGTTTACCATTAGAGAGCACAGCTGCTTCCAGTGTCACTAGTAAAATTATTATTAGGTTAAAATTTTGTTTATCAGAAGTACTATCAAACAAATGTCTCTGAGAAAACCACTTAATTCTGTAATCAATGATTTCCTGAAAGCCATCATTAGAAAGGGAAGCCACTTTCCTTTCTCTCTGCAGGCTTTGCAAGCTCCCATATATAATGGCTCTCAAGGTAGACTTTTACAGAGCAATACAATTAATTCATTCAGCAAATTCCCATTTGTTTCGTAGCTAAAAATACAGAAACACACAAACACTAAACTTTCATTCCAGATGGCACTTTTGCAAGCCCTTCAGACCACTGAGAAATAGTGAGATTTCCACCTCCCACCTCCCCCTCTCCAAGTCCCTATCACTCCAAGCTCTCACAAAACAGGAGACTTGTGGCTGGAAAGGAGGGGTCAGGAGGATATGAGATAGAGCCAAAGTTAACAGATGTTGCTGCGTGACATTCTACACTGATTTGTTGATCTTTCACACAGTTTCAATTTTCTACTGTATTCTATGGTGCTCACAAAAATTAGCAGCAGCAGCAAAAAGACAGAGCACTATGAGGTCTCCCAAAACAGCCTGGCTTTCCCTGTAGAAACTGAGCTTCCCATCTGCAAAATGCAAGAATTTAGCAAAGTAGTAGTATTGTTTTTGTAGACATTTTGTCTGCAACAGGAGATGGGAAGCTTTCCATGGTGTAATGCCATGTATAACCCTGGCTCCTGCTGGTGATCACTTACTGAGCTGAGCTTCCCTGGGGCCACTCATGTGAGCATCTACTCCCTCAAGTGGAAACTACAGGCTCCCAGTGTGGGACATTGGGTTAAAATTAACTAAAGACAGGGGGGAAAAAAGGTCGGTAGAAGGGGAATGCTGTTAATTAAATTTGTGGTTGAGGACAGTGACCTTTCTGAATTTGGAGCAGAGATATTTCTGTTTAGAGAGTTGCAGAAAATAGCTAAGAAAATTGAAGACGCAAGTCCTTGAGAAATGCTGTCATGCATCTAAGCTGATCTCTATGGAAATATCAGCAGCTCAGGTTTTCCACTGAAATGGCTCTACATGTGTGATGAGAACAGACAGTTTTAGCCTTTTTCTGCAGTGCCTGGGGACCTGGAGAGGCCTCTGCCAGCACCATTGTGGTGACTGTCCTGGAGGTGAAATGTGGTAAAGGAAGTTCTCCACTGAGCCACAGATCACTCCACTCTCATGGTCAGCACACTTATTTCTGTGCCACAAACTATTGCTGCAACATTAAAAGCAGGCTGCCACACATTTAAAAACAAAAGGTTGGAAAAGAAAGGTTAAAAACTCAGCTCTATTCCACTTTATGACATCTTAAGACACAAATGTGGGGTCTTCTATATTGCTAGAAGTTGTCAATTTACAATCTATTCAAGTTCATGAAAATATTGTACTTTGTAACTACATATATGTGGGCCTGTTACACCCATTGTAAGAGATTAATGCTTAAATAAGACTTTTAGATTTCCATTTTTAGCAATATCTTTGACTCTAACCAAACCAGAGGTAAAGACATTTTACATGTGTACAGCCTCATCTGGCGAGTGAAAAGTCTCACTCTTTCCAAACCCAAATTTTGTTCAAGCCACAGAAAAGAAAATTCAGTTTCGGGCAAAGATCAAAACCCTGGTAAATATTTTGGGAAACTCCTTGTGTGTGGGAAAAGGGAGCAGCTCAGATTGCAGGAGCCACATCTCTGGAGGGCACCACCAGAACAGCTGCTCACTGTTAATGGAGTTGCCACTGGTGCATTCCCAACACTTTTAACAAGAGCAACTTCAGCTGACATTGGCCAAGAGAGAGGGGAAGGCTCCTGACATGTGGACTGGGCTCATCACTGGCCTCTATTTCCACCACCATTTATGCTGCTACAGATGCCCACCCCTGGGAACTGCTAGGAGGACAGGATGAATGTGTTCCATTTGTCTTCCTCTCTTTGTGGGGTTCCCAAGGTCAGAAGGGATCACAGTGGTCATGAACTCCCAGATGACCAACCAGTAACTGAGGGAGCTCCTCTGACCAGTGGGGAGGGTGACTGGTCAGCACACCAGTGGTATGGGGGGCACCAGGGTATGGGTAGTGGGGAAGCCACTGAGCCATGCCAGAACCTCTCTGTGAGGTGGGGAATTGCATCACCAACACACTGTGGTGGCCTCGAGAGCAGCAGAACATCAGAAGAGGAACTGTCCACCCTCAGGCTGGTCTGACCTCATGCCCAGCACAGGCCAGGACATTTTGTGTTCCTGTACAAAGCTCAAGGACCAGCAGTTCAGCCAAAACACCTCCTTCTGAAAAGTGTCCCATCTAGGCTGGATCTTCCTCACAGATCATAAAGGTTCAGACACATCCCCTAGGTAAGTTGTTGCAATAGTTAATTATCTTCACCATTAAATATTGGTAAGTGATTTTTTGTTCATCGGTTTCCAAGCAGTGACTCTCTCCTATGTCTTTCTCACCCACATCCTGGGCCAAGGTGCAAGTGTTAGGAACCAGGATGTACTTTTGCACAGCAAAACAACTGTAGTGCTTTGTGTCCAGCCAGCAGATCTGCACCTCAAGGAGATTATGCAGCTGTATGAGACAGCTCATTTGTTTTCATTTCCCAAAATCACAACTTTAGCTGATGGGCTTCGGCAACATGGATTACATTCCACTCAGCAATGGGTAAAAAAACCCCACAACCAGCTGTTGTTCCTGCCCTATAGCTGTCTGGCCTTTAGGCTCCTGAGCTCAGGGGCTTCCAGCTTGTTCAGCCCTGCACAGGTTAGTGTGGTCCCAAGCAGTGGGTATGGCACAGAGCAGTGCAAAAGGCTAGGATGCAAACCAAAAGCATTGCCTTCCCTATTTCCACTGATGTTGGGACAAGACAATTCACAAAAAAAAACCTTGTTGAGGTTAAAAGGCTCAATTTAACCACTGTCATCTCAGTTAAAAGCTGTTTGACCAGCAGCATCCCAGTTTTGTCTCTCTGTCCCAAGTGGTCCCTAACAGCTTCATAACACACTGGTATAATAGGGATACTGCTGTGTAACTTTAAAGACAATAACTGTTACTTAGGACTTACACAGCACTTTTACAGATCCAAAACCCATTTCAAATCTATGAGGTAAGACTTTTAAATTCCCTGTATTCCACCTAGACAGTCGGCCTTACCTCTTTCCAGCATTAAGAGGCATTTATCAGCATGCTAAAACCAAAATGAAAGCAGTGGGGCCAAGATCCTACTTCTGCATTGCTTTCTCCTGACAAACCTAAAATCTGATGTTGTGGTCATGGGTAAGTATTTCTAATTCCCCTTGGATGCTGTAATGTTTGTGTAAAAGAAGCTGACAGTATCCAAACGGAGATAGAAAAGGCTTCCAAGAACAGAGACAACACATTTTCCTGCCTCCTCTCCCTCCCACCCCATCTTCACGGCATACGAGTGTTTTCTCTGGGATTATTTTAGGCACTGGAGCTGCCTATTACATATTGGAATGTATGGAACCACAAAACATGCTGCTAATTAGAAGGAAGGCATTTGCTTATCCTTAGGACTTTGTTTATGTAAAAGCCTGCACAGCAATGGATTTGTGAGCAACTGACTTCCCATTCATGTACTGTGTGGTTTCAGAGGAGAGAAATACAGGATTAAACTGGGAGAGGGGGGGTTAAATAATGTCTTTGCATTAGAAATAAAACTGACCCACTGTTTTACTTTTCATTATCCAAATATACTGTTTGAGACATCTCTCAGTTGAAATAATAAGAAACAACAGCCGTGGCCAATTTTGGTTTCAGACTGTGATACAACATGGCATTAATAAAAGAAAAGTCATGGATTATACATGGAGAAGAGCTGCCCTGGCAGTGACAAGGAGCTTATTTTAAACAAAAACAATGCTCTTTTAGGAAGAATCATGGCTACTAGAACATCAAAATTATAGAGTATCAGTGCACCTTTCACACGGGTTTGGGAGACTCTTGGCAAATGTCAGGTATATCAGTATTTGCCTGCTTGCAGAAGAGGTTATTTTAGCTAACAGAGTCCAGAAATATCTGCTCAAGGTGCAGTGTTCACAATTCTTCCCATCTTGTCCTCTCTCCCTTTCCCTGCCTTCCTTCACCTCCTTCCCTCTGCAGCAAAAAGAAACAACTGACAGTCTCCTCAGAAATCTTTCAAGTGCTGAGGAGGAGAAAGGAGACTGACACCAAAAATGCACTAGTAGGGGAAAGAGGAGGAACAGCTATGCCACAAAAACATCCTCAGGCAAGAGACAGAAGCCAGAGACTGGGGTCAGTAAAACTTGTCCAGACAAGGCATGTTTCAGTACTAGCAGCAGCTGGATGAGTTGTTGCAGCCAATCTTTTTGCTTTTTTAATTTCTCTCTGCTTAGGACCTTACTCAGCTCTGCTATCACCACATTTCCAGAGCACAGCACACGTCAGATAACAGAAATAGCAGTATTCGTGCTATGTCTCATTAAGTCAGTTTGCAGCAATGTTATTTTTATTTAACCCTTTTCACTGTCAGGTCACCTTCCCCAGCCTGGTGTAAGGAGCATAAAAGGAACCAAGGTCTGTGGGATGCCAGGGCATGACACTGCTAAAACATCCCCTTGATTGTACGTGGCACAACAGAGAAGTTAACAAAGGCCCTTTTTGACACACCATCATCTGAGTCTATAATTATCCA